ACACTTAGTGTCCCGTGCACTATGTTTTCTGTCAACTAATCTTAATTTTTTACAGTTTGGGCAATCTAATATTGAATTTTCTGGACATTCTCGTGTTTCATGTCCTCCACTACATTTGGCACAACAATTTGGTGCTTTACAATGTTTTGCAACAGGTCCAAAATTGCAACATTTAAAACACATTGCAATATTGTAATACTCTTCTACATATAACTTTGTTCGATCAAAACTTATTTTTTCATTTCTAATGAACTATTTAAAGATTTCTGGTTTCATCTGTAATACCCAATTTTCTTTTCTTTGATTTCTGCATTGTTTCCTTGTGATATATCTTATATTATCTATTACATTTTGACCAAAGCAGGTTTTGCTATCTAGGTTTTGCTCTATGAATTCTTGTATAAATTCATTCGGTTCATATCCTTTCTCGATACCTGTAATTAATAACATGGGATTAGTATTTTGTTTCTCTTTCAACAAAAAATGTCCTTATTTAGCAAGTACTTTTCTTATCTTATTTTGTTGTTCTACATTGTGACATTCCATGACAACGGTTCCACTTTATAACTGAGCAACTCTCTCAACATGTTCATTTATGTTATTTTTACCAAGCTTTGTTTAATTTCTTGCATTACTTTCTTTGAATCCGTTTCTTCATTTATTTAGTTTCTTTGGGAGGTGTTTGCCATACATGTTGGACCTCTTTTTTTTTTCAGTAGCTCTAATTTTGTCTTTTTTGTGTAATCATGCTGTAAGTTTTTTCAATCTTGTTATTTCCACATTCTGCTGTCTGCTCTTTCACATTTTTGTTTTCTTGCGCTAAATGATGTGCACTTTGTAAAAGTCTACAATTTTTCTGTTCTAAATAGCCTATTTTATATGCCATTGTTGTTAACACTTTATGTATACTAAATTATATGTTTCCAATTTAGCTGATTTTTCGACATTTTCATTTTAGAATATCGAGTGGATCACGGCTAGTAAATCTCATACTGTCTTAATCAAGTTTAGACTATTTTCTTCCATTTCCAATTGAGCAGTTTCATTATTAGGTTGTTCAGCTTCTAATTCTACACTTCTATATCTTTGTTTTTCTACTTTATGTCTCTCTACATCCCCAGGACTTGAATTGCTTCTAGCTCTTTTTGTACCACTATTCGAGCCGTTTGTATCCTTTTCTGATAGCATCTGTGGTGAATGTGTTAATAAAATCGGTGATGATTAAGGTAGAGAATTTCTTGGCTTGAAAATATTGTTTTTATCTAAAAACACTGCCTCTGTACCCATTTGTTGTCCATTATTTTTAAAAACATCATTATTTATGTTCGCATCCAACAAGCTTTCGCCAACATTAATTAATGAAAAATTTTAATTCCCCTCGTATGTATTAGAGTCTGTAAACACATGTTCCTTCTGTTTTTATTGGTTGATTTTTTGTTCGTTTATATTTAAAAATTGTTTATCACCTGGACAAACGACCGATTTGGATCTATTCTTTTTACGTGGATTTAAGTAATCTTTTAAATTTTCACTAGCCTGTTCCAGTTTACCATCACTATTTTCACTCATTGTTACTTAAATTTTCAGTTAAGAAACCCGCAATTAATTTACAAAAAACGAATGTTGCGGCTACACCTATACAGTAAAGGTTAGCATTGATGTTGGTTATTCCTTAATAGTTATTTCAATTGGATGTTCCAGTAAGTATCAATTGTTTTTCTTAGTATTAAAATTGATGTTTCTTCATTTTTAAATAAAAATGTGACAATTTTACGGAAAGCCATTTCTCATAAGATTAGTGCGGGGTCCTTTCTTTGATTTTACTTAATTAAAAAAAAAAACTACCTAAGTATAACTTTTTCTCATTACGATCCTGGACTGATTGCAAACACCAAATATGAACTTTCTACTTTACTCCGTTTGAGAATAATTCTCAAAAGAAACATTGGGGGAAATAAAACCACAAAGAGACCCGGTAAAGTTTTTAATTTTCAGAGCTCACGAGTACATTTTAAAATATTTTACAAATTTAAATAAATTTTTAAAACTTAGTTGCTAATACGCTGCATTAGTGATTGTCGAATTAAAACACTAGATTCTTCAAATCAATTTTTTCTCCAATCGTACATTTTTATACTATTTTCAGTTGCTATTCTCCTACTGTACCAAAAAGTTCTTATAATTCTAGGCTTAATTGTTCTACTTTTAATTATCATTCATTACGTTCATACTGAATCAAAATCAAATCAAATGATTTCATTCGACATAATATGGACTCTCTTCTACGTCTTTTTAAATTTTATGTACAGTACGACAAGATTGAGATGGTAAGTCAGAATTAGATGCGCACTGGCAAAAATTCAAAATACATAAACTTGGCAACGCTTCACCAGTGAACACAAATAGATCACTAAAATAATTACCTGAGATGACTCCTCTCATTCTGACTTGCTATTTCAATCTTATCGTACTGTATATATTTAATTTAATTTAACTTAATTCACCAATGATCTGTCAAATAACTAATTCTAAATTCTTTAACTGGATCTTCTCCTACTACCAAGGTAACAATGTTATCTGCAAAGGTTACTATTGTTTTATTTCTAGGTTTGGAATATCACTGGTGTATAGTAAATACAGTACAAGTTTCAATACACTACTCCTGCTTTGATTTCTTTTTGTTCTGAGTGAACTTCTTTCCGCTTTATTCTAATGATCTATCTGTAATATATGACTCCAATAATTTAGTCCCGTGTGCAATACTTTATCTAAAGCACAGCACAGCATCTCAGAAGAGTACATTTTTCTTTATTTAAATGATTTTTCAATGATGTTCGGTATTCGGTTTATTTGGTCAATGATCGAATGTTTATCCCTAAAGCAAAACTGATATGTTCAAATCATTTTTTTTCTTCTATGACGGGTGAAATATATTAATTGTTAAAATGTATCAAACTGTAATTTAATTTCAACTGAAATCGTTCTATGTTCGTTACAACTTTGGAACTGTGTCACCCAAACCTTTTAATCGGCCATTACCTGCTAGTATAAATTAAAAACACTCGTGTGTGGATATAGCCAATTATTCGTACGTGCATTATGATTATTTCCACATAATATTCTACATACTAATAGTCACATCCATTAATTAGTTGTAACTAAAAGCTTAAGGGTAACTATCTACTCTAACTGATTATTTGCCAACGAATTCATCTCCGTATTAAATTAACCTCCCGATAACGCTCACTTTCATCACGATAAGCTTCTCCATTTCCATGCGAATTACGTGAATTCATTTATTCAATTTCAATTTGGAGCTTTGGTCGCAGAGCAGCTAGCAAAGATAAACAAGATTTCTTTGAAGGTGTTGTCCCGAGTCGGGATTCAGCAGCGAAAGCAGGGCGGACGACTGTCACACGAATAGTTCGCGTGACATTCTCGTTCCGCATTATCAATTTAATTTGCTAACTTTGATATATCCGAACTCACCTTGTCGTTTTCGGCAACGAAACTTTCGGACGACACGAGATGGAGGAGTTATACCGTAGCACAGTGATTCTCAACAACTGTGCCGCGGCACTTTTGAGTGCCACGAAATTCTAAAAGTGTACAGCCAAATTTTAGATATTTAATAATGTTAATATTATTAAATAATATATTTAAATCCATAAATATATAATTTTATTATTTGTTTTGCAACGGTTCTTTCTTAGTGCTGGATTAGTGGCGAGCATAGTGTTTTATTCAAACCAATAGGAATAAATGCGTTTATAGTAAGGCGTTTTACATAGCGGTGAAGAGAGCGTTGCTGCAACGGTATAGCCCGAATCAAACATGTTTGTTTCGAAAGCAGTTACCAGCGCGGTTTGATACGCGACTAGGGGGCGGTTTCTCCATTGTGCAGTGAATACCCAGTTACATTTCATAAAAACACATTATTTTAAAATAATAACATAAAAACATTAATTCAATTTTAATAATTTTATTGTTTTTATACGTGTTAATATCTATTTTTGGGTACGCCACTGCGCTCGTGGCGCGCTTTTATAAGTGAACCCACGGGAGTTAGAAGCGTTCTTGAAAATCTTTAGCTAAAAAGAGATGGCACACGATAATAGAACCCTGAAACGTAGTGAAACAATGATAAAATAACTTAAATCAGCCTAATTTGCGCAACGCACACCGTGACGTCACAAAGTAGGCGGGGCCATACCAATCTTTCAAATCATGGATATAGAGAAGCAATGACGGTACTAAACGTCTCACTTTTGTATTACTCTTTTACGACATGTCAAACTCGAGCTAGTCAGTTTTGGTGATAATAATTAAAACTTTAAAATATAAAAATATTCTAGATATTATTGCCTTATTTATTTTGCTAAAATTTTAACTTTTAAAAAAAATTACTCTTTGAGATATGCTTGTCCGAAAATTATAAAAGGGTGCTGTACTCACCTTAAGAACAGAATGGGGATATATTAATTACCCATTATTTTTTGCATCGAGAAGCAGTTGTTACAAAATATTTGAAAATAGTTCTGGAACAATGTGTTAAAATAAAATGGTTAATTATATAAAATCAAGACCATTAAAAAGCCAAGTACGATTCTTTGTTACTACATACGGAAATAAGGTGTTTGTCTAGATGAAAATTTTTATCTCGTGTGCTGGAACTAAAAGACGAAATGAAAATACTTTTTGAACAAGATAAAAATTATGAATTTGTTGATTTGTTGGAAGATAAAATATGGTGTACTAAACTGGCTTACTTATTGGACATTTTTGTTGTTTTTAATAACATAAATTCAAGTATACAAAGGCCTAATGAAAATATCTTAAACTCAACCGACAAGCTGGTGGGATTTCAAAAACAAATAACGTTATGGAAGAATACAACTCAGGAAGGCAATTTAGAAAAGTTTGAATCAGTCCCAAAAGATTGTTATACAACTATTTAAATAATTGTTATTGACAATTTGACAACATGAGAGAAGAGAATTATGCATTATTTCCCAAAATTAGATATAAGGAAATTTGAATGGGTTCGCAACCCATTTCTCATAACGAATACTTCTGTATTTGACTTAACTTTGAATCAAGAAGAAGAAGTCGAAGAAGAAGAAGAAGAAGAAGAAGAAGAAAAAGAAGAAGAAAAAGAAGAAGAAAAAGAAGAAGAAGAAAAACTCATTTTGCTTTCCAATATTCGAGATTTAATTTTAAAACATTCAGAAGAATCAATTAATTTATTTTGGATTAACATTAGATGCGATTATCCAATGATAGCCAAAAAAGCTTCAAACATATTATTACAATTTTCCACATCTTATTTGTGTGAATTCGGATTTTCAGCATTAACCAACATTAAAATTAAAATGTAGAAGACGATATGAGAGTAGCATTGTCATTTTTACGACCAAACATAAATGAAATTATCAAAAAACATCAAGCTCAAATTTCGCATTAAAAGTATTCTTATTATTAACTTGTTTTTAATCCCTTAATAAACGTACTATTATTTTTGAACTACATATTATTTTATTAAGCACAGTTAAAATTATTATCATAAGTAGTAGGTAAGTAAATAATTTTTAAACTTATCTTTTGAAATCGTTAAAAGTGTGCCGCAAAAAAAAAGTTTGAGAATCACTGCCGTAGCATATAAGTACAGATGACCTATCCCAGATAGGAAAGCAAGAAATGCGAAGTTCAAGACTTTGTGTGTTCATTTTCGGAAGATACTTGTTTTTTTCTATTGTTGTTTCACCAATGAATACTATTAATGGAAGAAGATACTTTATTTAACTATGTTTTTTATAATTATATAAATATATAGCAGGTCAAAAATAAGCAGATTAAACAATCATGAGATGAAAGTTACAAACAAAAATAAAATCATCTGATACTTATACAGAGTGGCCCAAAAGTCTGGAAACGGCCAATTATCTCGTAAATTGCTACTCCTAATTGTACAAAATTTGAGGTACAACTATTTTGGGATACGGTGATTCCAGAATTGATATTTGCAATTTTTACAGATATGCCGTTTCTCTTAAATTATTAGTCACTTTGGTTTTTCAAATTCATCACCCTATATATTCAGTCATTATTGGAATCTCCTATTCAATACAAGTTTAACATTATGTAACACTCATGATTTTATGTAGTCTGGAAGGTCTTAAATAAATAAAATAAGTCTCAAAACGTCTAATTGTCTCAATAAATTTTTTAATACAAACTATTTTCAACTACATTAAAACGTAAGAATTGAAAGATTATAACATTTTTAACATTATGATTACTTCAAAATGTGCTCCATTTGTGAGTTAACAGTACCCTAATCGATGATAGATTGCGTCTACCACATTTCTACATGATTGTTTTTTTTATTTATTTAAAATCTTCCAGACTACATAAAATCATAAGTGTTACATATGGTTGAACTCGTATTAAATGGGTGATTCCAATAATGACTGAATATACAGGGTGATGAATTTGAAAAACCAAAGTGACTAACAATATATGAGAAATGGCAAATCTGGCAACATTGCAAATATCAAATCTGGAATCTCCGTATCCCAAAATAGATGTACCCCAAATTTTGTACAATTAGGATTAGCAATTTACGAGATAATTGGCCGTTTCCAGACTTTCGGGCCACTCCGTATCATATATAATGTGAAACAATGAAATAAAATATGGAAATTCTTGAAACTTATTATTGGTATATAGATAAATTTTTCTTAATTAAAATGGCATCTTTACAAGCAAAATATTTTTCGAGAATCTTGAATGAGTAGACCCAGGGAGAATGTACATTCAACATGGAAATTAATGGAAACATGAATTAAAAAATCAGAAATTCAATAAAAACTATTGTTTTCAAAGTAAATTTTCAATAGTTTTTTAAAATAAGTTTGTCTATTTTAACTTATTACAAAGTGCATTATATAGATTAATGTGATATAAGTTTTTTAGTTTGTTTCTAATAATCTATATTTGGAGACTGGGTGGCTCAGTAGTTAGAGTCTGAACTTGCGAATCGAAGGGTCCACGGTTCGAACCCCATCGATGACCGGGATTTTTATTTAATTTTTTTTTAAATAATTCTGATGCATAGGTATGATTCCCCACTCCGACCATTAACTGTTGAGTTCTAATTAACAATGTGGCTCCTGGGAAACAATGACAAGGCCTGCCTGTAAGGGTGCAGGAGTATTTGACTACTAATACTCCATAACCTACATAGAACATGAGGCTAATGACCTAAGTTGTCGAAGCTGAAGGAAAAAATAACTTATATCTAGGTAGTTGAATTAACATAGCATTTCCAGTGTTATAAGAGTGATTACTAGACTAAGTAGTAGTAGCAGTAGTCCCTTTATGAATTTCATTAAGACTGGATACATATATCACTGGGGTCATTATAATACCTCGTAACCCTAACTAAAAATTTAATTTTTTCATCCAGTTGTCGCAACTACCCATGCGCATCGTTGCACAAAATCTTATTGCCCACAAAAATGTTTAAAACCAAAAAAATTAAACTTTTATAATACCTCGTTTACGAACTTTGTATTAAGCACACAACGGTTTTTGGCTTCTTATGTAAAAAGTGATTGTTTTTGTCTCAAGGTATCAAAATGACACCCAGTGCAGTGATATCATATATATACAACCAGTATCTATATCGCCAATATTATAATCTACTTTTGGCACAAACATGCTTCTCGTTACTTGGGGTACGAATTTAAACATTAAACATGATTTTTTTAAATGTTTGGCAACAAAACCAGATATGTAGACCACCATATTTTCCGAAATGAATGATAATGTCGCAACTAGTCTTTTTATTTCTTGAAAATCGTCATCATCATCAACAAATATGGCATTGATGTCCATATCATATTTTTTTATCAATCCAATATTGTCGACTGTAATTGGTGACATTACTCTCTTACTCGAGAAAGTTGATAAAATAAGTCGAGATTGTTTACTCTACATAAAGATTGTATTGCTATTTTTGCAGACAAAAAACAGTATTGGCTAACTCACGGCTACAACTTCCCCAAAATGAAATTCCATATATCCTAAATTGGACTCAAAATAGATCGTAATATACAATTTTAGCTGGTTTAAAAACTAATTCTTGAGCCACAGTTCTGACTGCAAAACATCCAGAAGAAAGTTTTTTCTTTAGCAACTTTATATGGTTCTTTCATTTCTAATAACTATTGTCTGAATTAACACTCAGAAATGTTATTGTATCATCAGCAATTATGTCTAAAAGTTGTCGCCTATCCAATAATCAGATGAGATTTAAACCTGTTCTAATTGCTAAGTGGTTTCCAAAATTATGAGACATATTTTTAGATGTGTATAAGTAACTACAATTTTTAATTCAGCGGAGGCAATAATAAATTACAACTTAGTTTAGGACAGACAATTTTTCAAATGCAATATGAGAAATTAATTATTAAAATACTTGAATTTCGCTACATAATACATTTTAAAATAAATGTGTTGTTACATGCGCCGCTAACCCAATTATTTACATCACTTGCACAAATAACCGAAAATATTTTTATCTATGAATCAGATCGATTATAACACAGATAGTGATCTTGAATGCGTCTTGGCAAGACTTCAAACATGTTCCACATTTACAAAATACTGTAGATGAAAATACGTTGCAAAAATTCTGCTACATTCATAAAAACCGCTATAGTCAAACGTGTTAAAATTTCAGAAACATGTTAGTCGTACGGTGAAAAAATTTCATAATACATATTTCAAACTATTAAATTATGAAGTAATTTAATTAAATTCAATATTTGGATTATAAAAAATTTTAAACAAAATAACTGACATGACGGATGAGAATGGTATCGTGAATTTCAGAGCAGATTAGAGATTTAACATATATAGCGTGTCCCAAAAAGTTTTATGCAAATGGAAAATGTTTATCTCACATTTTACAAAAAATTATTTTTGATAAAATGTTCTGTATCACTTGAAAATCTATAATCAAACATGAAATTGGTAAACACTCTATATTAGCATTGATTTTGGATTATTTATTGAATAAAGTCAATCGAAATCACTTAAAAATAACTGAATTAAACTAAACATATTTTGTAATTCATATCAACCTTTTATAATATACGTATATAGTACGGTACATAACTTCAGGAGCGTATTCTGGAGCTAAAATAACGGTATTTTTGTCATATGCACTATGCTTCGTTACATAAATACAGGGTGTGAAAGTTTCATAAAAAAAATACAATTGTTTAAATATTTCCAAAACAACTTAAGATATTTTAATCAAACTAATCGCTGAAAATATGGAAGGAATAACGTGTTACGCCACTGTTCTGTTTTTAATGTTTGATTTGGAAGAAAAAGCAACAAAGACAGTAATTTTTTTTATTCTTTTTTATTATTTTTAATCTCTTTGAACAAAGTACAACAAAACAATTTTTCCCAGGTACTTGTTTAACATTTTACTAGTCGCCAATTGTTTATTTATTTGTATGTCAGACATTTAAATGAATAACTTTACTAACTCTGAAATGACTCAAATGCACTTTTATTTAAAGCTTAGCAAATGGGAAGAATTTATCAGTAATGTTATCCGAATAGGGTAACGCCATAATATTATACTAAAACATTTAGTAAGATACATGCCAGATTGAGTTAAACCGGTAGTTTTGAGCATAATCGGATAGTTCCTGGTAGACCACGAACATTAACAACGCCTTAGCTAAAAGAAGGAGATAGAAGAAAATCCTTCAACTAGTACCAGGAAGATTGCACAACAGCTTCAAGTGCAAATACTAATTGGAGAGTTTTGAAAGTTTCTCTGCTTTACCCATACCATATACAACGAGTACAAGCTCTGCTGCCCCGCGACTTTCAGTCAAGGCTAAATTTTAGTAGGTGGTTACTCCATAAAGTTGCTCATATCTACAATTTCTTGACCCTAATTTTATTTACTGATGAGACAACTTTTTCGCGAAAAGCAATTGTTAATTTTCATAATGAACATTTATGGGCTGAGAAGAATCCTCATGCAATAAGAGAAGGTCGCTTTCAGCAAACATGTTCACTAAATGTATGGATAGGGATTATTGATGACCATCTTATTGGACCATACTTTTTACCCCCTCGACTGAATGGTGATTCGTATACTCAGTTTTTACACGAAGAACTAAATGTTCTGTTAGAAAAAGTGCCTCTGCAAGTAAGATGAGATTTATGGTTTATACATGATGGTGCACCCCATTTTAGCCTTCTTGCTCGCCAATACCTCGACAACACTTTTCCTAATCGCTGGATTGGACGCGGAGGTCCTCAAGTTTGGTCACTTCGCAGTCTC